AGTTCACTGTCACCCAATCTGAAAATCGCCGGAAATTGCACTTCCGGCCAATCCCATGGCCGAAACCCACCTCCTTCCAACTGCCCATCACCAGGTAACCACAATGGAATTGGTGAGGTCTGGTTCGAGCGAGAGCTTATGAAGGAGGGAAGGGAGTGGGAGGAATTTGATAAAAAATGCATTTTTAATATTATTATAAATTTTCGAGGCGATTGAGCTCCAACATCACAGGATCCGACCCGTGAAGCAGATTTAAGAACTCATCTGCATCTAAATTCGGTCGGACCGCCGCCCTCCGTCGCGGCGAGCTCTTGCCTCTATCCCTAAATGACGCGGACATCGTTAAGGGGGTCGCCTGTGGAGCCTCACTAGGCCGCTCATTGTCGTTTGCCTCGCCGGAACTCAGCTCCGGCGTCAAGCTAAAACTTCCATCGCCGGAAACTTCATATCTGATCTATACGCTTATTTTTTCGCACATCAAATACACAAAACACCCAATTTTATTCCTCAGGTATAAGCATTTATACAAACACCTCAAAGAGAAATTACTGCATAGACCGCAGATCAATTACATAAACAATTATAAGTAGAGAGAGAACTTCAGAGAGATTAATTTGAAAATGTAGTGTGCAATACATTTCAAGAGTCTGTGGTGATATGAGGGCTCCTGTGTTTGTTTCTCTCTCTAAGGAATGGGTCCCACGAGGAGAATAAAAAAGGCAAAAAAAATACCCACCTTGAAAGTTGACTTTCATTCACAGTACAATAAAAATGCATTTTTAATATTTTTATAAATTTTAGACTCTTTTTCATTTTAAAAAAAGTTTAGGGGTAAAATTGCAATTTATGCTTTATTTTCTTTTCTTTTCCTTTTTGTTTTATTTAAATTAGAGGGTATATTGGTCATTTTATGTTAAAAATTAGGGAAAAGGACGTTTTGCGCAAGAAAATGCATAGGTCGGGACGTTCTGCACCAAAAAATCAAACGTAGGGATGTTTTCCACACAACCCGTCATAGGTAGGGACGTTTTGCGCCAC